GCGCAGTAATTGCATTGAAAAAAAAACCCTTGTAAGCCCTTGCGAAAACCTCCGTAGAACGAAAACACCCATACGAAGCCATCTATAGCCCGCATAAAGCCACCATATACAGCCCTTCTATAGCGCTAATGGAACCCTCAAAGGACCCCACCTAAACCCCAAACCCCAACCCTTAACCCTAAAGCTCGTTTTAATAGCAAAGCCCTAAACCCTCAACCCTAAACCCTGAACCCCTCTAAAGCCCTAAGAAAGAGCGGAGGCCCGGAGTCCCACTCCCTTCGCCGAGTTCCTCTCGGCCCTTCGTAATGAAGTCCTAGAGTGTTATAGGATTTAGGGTTTCAAAGGGTTCCTGGAAGGGACAGTAATATTAATAGTCATAGTCGTGGGAATAAAGTCTAAGAGTAAGGGCTCCTTTGAGGGTTCCTTGTTTTGCAATGGAGTTCAGATTCGGCTTTTGTGGAGTTTAGGGATTCCAGAAGTTTTGGCTTCGTCGGGTGCACGGATGTTCTGGGTTTTGGGGTTAGCACTTGGAACAAGACCATTCGTAACAGGTCTATCCGGTTGTTAGACTCAGAGTGGTTGACAGAGGGCCGCCGAAACCCTAACCCGGCACGGGCACCAGCAAGGGTTCCTGACCCACTTCAAAACAGGACTCCATTGTTCCTCAGACCCACCACCTTTCGCTCCACACCCTTGTCTGCGGCCCAACGGCTCCCAGACAATTACCCAAGATTTCCAAACAATTTTACACAGCCTCGAACCTGAACCCAGGCGTGCAGGCTTAAACCCTAAACGCCTAGACCTCCAGCACAAAACCACCAAAACCCAAAGTCTCAAAAGCCCTGGACCCTTTCCCACGAGACGCCCATAAACCCTAAGCCCTAAACCTTTCTCTGCCATGCTGCGAATCTGGAAAGCCTCGGGGGAGGAGGTGGCAGCACTTCCTCCCGAGGAGGCGGGTTCTCTGCTGGCGTTAGAGGGGCTTCGAAGGTTCTCATAGGTTCTTATAGGGTTATAGGGGTGTTTTTAGATCTCTACAGCGTTATAGACGTTTGATGGGGTGTTCCTGAAAGTAGGGTATTCATAAGCCCAGGGTTCTGATAGTTTTTTTTTTGCAAGGTCCTGAGAGGTTTCTTGACTGCCATAAGCGTTCTCACGCTGTTGTTGGCTTGTATTGTAGGGGCTCTTGAAGTATGTGTTGAATAATGGTTCTTGTAGTTGTCGCATGTTGTCGCTTTATGAGGGTTCTAAAAATGATTGAATCTCGGGTTGTTTTCGAGGGATTCTGACGGCAGAACAAGTGGTTTGGCTGTGGGTTTGATTGGACTTCGGCGACTGTAGAAGCCTGAATAATTACTGTAGTAAATAGTAAGGTTCCCTGAGGTTCCTTCTTATAGCTTTTTGGGCTATACCCAGAAGCCCTGTTCTATTCATTCAGGCCCCCGCGAAGTCGTAGGGCTCCAGTGACCCGCAAAGGGCCGTGTAATGATGAGAGACGCAGAGCTTCAGGGCAACGCCGCAGGTCTGAGGCTCTCCCTCTGGCTAAGGGTTTAGGTTCGGGCTTAGGGAAGTTTGGGGTTTAAGGTTCCGGTTTAGGGGTCCAGGAAGAGAGTGCAGTTTTGCAACCCTCCATCTCTCTCTGCAGGTTGGCGACGCGCGCTCCCTGAAGCGGCACCTGGACAGATCTCAACAATTGTTCTTCTCATGCTGTCAAGTACAACTCTGCGACCCCAGAGCCCCTGCACCGCAAAGCCTTTTCAAGTGAAGGTATCTCCAGAGCCTCTGCGGGGTGCCGCGCTTCAGGCAGCGCCTCATCGCCGATGGCCGAGCACTGGAGGACGACTTCAGGCACAGGGCTCGAGTTCGAATGGGTTTCACGGTTTGGGGTTTAGGGTTTGTTGCAGATTTTCTAGGGTGATCTGCGAGCTTTGAAAGGGCTTCTGGGATTTGACTCCGGGACCCTGGGTCCTAATAACTTAAGTCAGGATCCTTCCGCACCGTTTCTTTTTCGGAAGCTCCCGTCGGGTTCAGTTGAAGGGTATAGAGGTTCCTTACCACATTCTGAGCGGAACATGTCCCAAAAACATATTTCATATCTTAAGATCCCTAATAATTTAATTCATCCGCGACTCAATCGATGGAAACTGTTGCGGATGCCGGAGTGCACAAAGTAGGAACCCTGTTTATGTGGGCTAGCCCAAACAAAATACTCTTAAAGCTGCGTAGGCCGTCCAAACTCCACATGCCCTGCTTCCATGCCGCTCAGGCGTCTCGAGGCAGGGGACATTCAGCTGGTGCTTCTGTCCTTCTGCGAGGCTCGGATGTAAAATGACGCTAAGCCCTGAACCCCCAGACCCATCCAGACCCTAACCCCCAAGAACCTGCACTGAACTGCGATGCCAGCCTACCCAGAGACTCCAAAACCCCTTAATTAAGGAATAGAGTTTAAAATCATATTAGGGATCCTATTCTATTTTACGGTATATTCCTTAGCTAAGGGGTTTTGGAGTCTCTAGGCAAGTCCAGGACTCCCAGTCCCAGTCCCATGTTGCGAAGCTTGAGGTTTGGAGCTGCGGAGGTCGGGCTTGGGGTCCCAGGGCCTTGGTGTATGCCCGGGCAGTGATACTACGGTTGAGGATATGAATCCTGCGTTGCTCATCATAAAGGATATACCATAATTCCCATAGTCTAGGGTCCTGAAGGTAATGCAGGATGTATACCATCAACAGTATGGCTACTCAGTTGAGTTATCAATGTTATAGCCAATATTATTTACGGCTGAGATGCTCACTCCTGCTATCAGCACCATCAGATGGTCCTGCACAGTGACTGCAGGCTTCTCTATTCTTCTGCTGGTCACTCTCGTACTTTCATCGCCACGACCACTGGACCAACAGCAAGAGCGACAGCACCGGCAGAAGCATCAACGCCAACCGCTACAATTGCTGCGGTCGTCGTTCTCATACTAGCAGGATTATCATTACATGACATTGTTAACATTATTTGTTATCCTCATGATCATCATTTGTTTCTGTTATCACGCCATTGTTGCTAATTCATATTCGTACTCAGTTGTTATTACGTTTATGACCAGGCCTCCGACGCGGAAGCTGGTGAGCTCCACTTGGCAGCGCGAGAAGGACGTGTTTCTGAGGTGGAGGACCGGATTTCGGGTCTCCGAAGCTACGATGGTGGTGTAGGCAAGTCTGGATTTTGCCTGCAAGTTGGATTCTTGCTTCGAAACGAGTTTGAACTCCGCGTCGGGTGTGCAAACCTAGAGCGTTGGACTTGAAAAGAGTTTGATTTTAGGGTTTTCGCTTGGCCCGTGGCACTGCGTGGCATTGTTTCCGCGAAGACGAGAGGTGAGTACAGTGAAATTTGGTGCAGGAGATGTTGAGTCGGCCCTTGCATCCAGACTCAACCTCCAAAGAGGTCTGGTACACGCCACTGTATGCTGCGTCTCACAGAGGGGATGTGGAGATGGTGCGTTTGCTGCTGGAGGCCTCAGCCGACAAGGACGACACGAGGTGTCACGGCTTCACTCCTCTCGGCATCGCCTGTGTTCTTGGCCGTGCAAATGTTGCAAGCGTGCTGCTGGAGGCCGGCGTCGACAAGGATAAGGACTGCACATGGGAAGGTGCCACGCCGCTGGGGGCGGCAGCCGACCACGGCCGGGAGGAGACCGTGCGCTTGATGCTGGAAGCTGGTGCGGACAAGGAAAAGCCTTGGGGAGATGGGATGACGCCGCTTGGAGCGGCGGCTCTGAAGGGCCGCGTCAAAGCTGCACGCTTGCTCCTGGATGCTGGTGCGGAGAAGGATTGTCGGTGCCAGGGTGGTGCAGGGCCTCAGCTCTTAGGGTATCGTGCTTCTTTTTGCCTTTGTGAGCTGCACGCACTCCCGGCTACTTGCACCCTGTCCAGGTGCCACACCTCTCGGACTTGCATCCAGCCGGGGCTTTCCGACTATTGTGCAGATGCTCCTAAAGGCTGGTGCTGACAAGGATGCCTGCAGGCGCAATGCTGCTCCGTCATCGTGTAATGAATGCGCTGCTTTGGTAGGGCCAGAAGTAGTGTGGCATTCATCCTGTCGAATCAATGCTCCCGGAACCAGGCGGGATGGTACCACTCCACTTGGCGTGGCTGCGCGCAAAGGTGCAGCATGCCACAGGTCCATGGTGCAGCATGCCACAGGTCCATTGCCCGTTTGCTCTTATCGGCCAGCGCCGACAAGGACAAGCCAGGCAGAGCTGATGGGGCACCACCTTTGGGCATCGCTGCCAGCAAGGGAAATGCTGAAATGGTGTACATGCTGCTAGATGCCACGGCTGATCTGGACAAGTCGTGGGCATCTGGCGCAACACCCTTGGGTGTGGCCTGCCGCCATGGCCGCACAACCATCGTGCGCTTGCTCTTGGAAGCCAAAGCAGACAAGGACAAGCCTTGCAGACCGGATGGTGGAACACCTTTGGGTGTTGCAGGCCGACTTGGCTCCGCAGCGATCGTGAAGCTGTTGCTAGACTTCCGCGCTGACAAAAACAAGGCTTGGGGCCTCGATGGCACGACGCCTCTCCGCGATGCCATCAGGAGAGGCCAGAGAGAACTCGTCGGACTTCTCCGCTGAATGAAAAGAACATCGTGTGAGCGCAGGTCTCGAAAGGACACCATTATCCAGAATCCAGATACTGGTGTTCTTCCTCTACAGGCTCGGGGCTGCTAGTTTGACGACGTGAGACAGCAGGGATGGGAATCTCCAGCACCGGGACCCCTGAAGGGAGATCCGTCGAAATGATAAAGTCCCAGATCCTCGAAGCCTCTGAGTATGGGCTGAGGCTTTGAGGTTCAGGGTCCGACATCGAGGCCTCAAGGGTACAAGCCTCGTCTCAATCAGAGTCTCCGGACGTTTGATGCGCCCTCAACATTCCTAGCCATGCGGTCATAGCACACACTCATACGGAAGGCTTGGTTCCATTGCCCACTGCTTGGATCACCATAAGTCGAAGCTGTCCCAAGAGTCAGGCTAGGCTTCGAGACCAATCCCTACACCTTCTCAAACCCTAGCGAGGAAGCGTAGACCCTAAACCGTGTCCCCAAAGGCCCTAGACTCCCGGAAAGCCCTTAACCTTAATTTCCCTAAATTCCCTAACCCCTAAAAGCCCTCAACTCCCTGACTCCCTGAGAGCCCTAATCCCTAAACTCCTTTTAGCCTCAAGGCCCCCAAACCCACGCAAGCCAAGGCCAGAGGACTTCAGGACTTCATCATGAAAATGAGGCCCCGGGGGCCGGTCTCAGGGTTCAGGGGTTGCTTGAAAGGGATTCGAAGTAAGGTTCCTAAAAAGGAAAGTTATAAGGTCAATGAGGCCCGAGCCGGTCTCAGGGTTCAGGGTAGTTTTAGGCTTTAGGGGTTTCTAGGGGTTGAGGGTGTAGGGGTTCAGGGGTTTAGGGTTTTAGGGGTTGAGGCCGGTGTCAATCTCGAGTCTGTACCCTTTGGCCCTTAATGGGTTCCAAAACCATAAACCTTAGGCCGTGTCACAGAACGAGGTCGGAAAACATAGCAATAATCGGACTAGTTACTAATTATAAGTATATCCATTAAGGTGCCCTACTCTAACGTTTACGTGCCCCTTTTTCTACCTCAGACCACTCCAACCCTAAACCCTAGACCCATCCTAAACACTCAACTCTAAACCCTACAGCCTAAAGCCCTAAACCCTACAGCCCTAAACGTTGAACCCCCAACACCTATATTGCCAGGGGCGACCACTCCGGGATCCTCCAGGGCTTCGTCGCCCCCCACGGAGTCTCCAACTCCCTGGTCCGCACGGCCCGGGTTCCCGAGAATCTTCCAGCTTCTCCTTTGTGGAAGTAGGGGTTCCATAGGGGCCCTAAGTGGTTGCCTATACTATTTTGGAGGTTTAGGGTTGAAGGTTTTAATTGCCAAGACTACTTTGGGGGTTCCTTGTTGTAACTACAGCATGATCTGCCCTAAGATGCCATTCTCATTATTAAGGCCCATACAGTACTAAAAGCGCCCTCTTAAGGGTGTTGCAAGGGTCCTTTGCAAGGGTACCTTGAAGGCGGGGGGGTTCGGATGCAGGAAGGCTCTGGGGCTTCAGGTTTCGGGTTTGCAGTTCATGGTTTGGAAGAGGGCTTCCAGAGTTTCTTGGGTTAGGGTTTAGGTCTGTTTAGGTTTAGGGTTTCGGAGTTTACCTACACCCTAATTCCTAAACTCTAGTGGCTGGAGGGTTTGTCGGAGGCTGTGGGAATTCGGGTTGCAGCGTGTCCTGCAAGCACCAACGAAATCGAAGGCCCCAAAAGCCTCAAGCCACCACTTGTTCAAGGGTTTAGGGATGTTTAGGGTTTGTGGTTTAGGGTAAGAGTTTAATTTGGGTATAGGTCTTAGGGCCTGGGGCTTCGTCAGCCTCGAATCCGTAAGCCTCAAAAGCAACCCTATAAACTGTAAACTCTAAACCCCAAACCCTGAAGTTTTAAAGCCGAACCTCCAGGCCTGGACCGTAAACCCCAAAATCCAAAAGCCCTAAACCAATAAAGCCCCTAAACCCCAAACCGGTTTAGGGTTTAGGGCTTAGGGTTTAGGGAAACCCTAACCAAGCCCTACACCCCAAGGTTGAGTTCCGGCGGCAGACGGCCCTTGCGATGCGAACCAACCGGGGGCTCCTTTCTGGAGGCGGATGGGGGAGGGGTGGACCGGCTTTAAGGCTTTCTTGCGCCAAGACCGTATCACGGTTTCGGGTCTAGGGTTCAGGGTTTAGGATTTGGGGTTTAGGGGTTAAGGGCTAGGGTTTCGGGTTTAGGGTTTTGTGTGCTAGGTTTCGGGCTTGGGTCCAGGAAATTCCAAGCTCGAAAAACCTCCAGGCGGCAACCTCTTCGACAGATGTGCCACCTTCGAGGGCTGGGAAGGTGGCGGCCGTGTCGTTCCTTTGTGGGGTTTGGGGGTTCTGGGGGTTCAGGGAATTAGGGGCCCAAGAGGGCCCGATCAGTCTAGGTTCTGACGAGGAGGGTCCGTTTTTTCCGGAATCCACCATTTAGGCTGCATGTTCCCACGTTGTTAGCTTGCCGTTTCCTCCAAAGGCCTGGTCTCCAGGTTGGAATGAGACTTTAACCCTAAGCCCTAAGACCCAAAACCCATTTTAATCCAACGTAATTAGTTAGTGAATGGTATGAAGGCTAATACATCAAAACCGAAGTCTGATCCGGAAGGCCCCTTACATCGGATGTTGAGGTTCCTCATGAGGGTTCTATGAAGAGTTCTATAAGTTTTCCGTTAAGGGTTCTGTAAGGATTCGTTTCTATGGCTCCACCTGTTTTCTGGAGGTCTCGCGGTTTCTGATCTCTCGAGGGTTAAGAGCGTTCAGGCAACTGGTGATATCTCGTGTATTGCATACAGCTTCGGACTGCAGCACCGTTCGCATTCTCAGCTTTAGAAATATGATGCAGCTATACCACAACTACAGTACCACTATAATGTAGGTCTGACAGTTTAACATAGTAATATAATATACCTATAAGTATGCAGCTCTGTCGCCAGCTCAAAGTTCCGAAACCAACCAAGTGGAGGGCGAGCTTGTGAATATCATCCGTGAGACGATCCTGTCATCGCTCCAAAGTTGGGGTCGACCTGAAGGAGTACCGATACTCAAACACATGACAGCATCAAGTCTTGGGCGATGCTCAAGATCATCCTCTCATCCGCAAGACGTCAGCAAAAAGTCAACATGAGGCAGTATACCTGCAATATCCTCCTTCGACCTAGCAGTGGTCCGTACTCGTTCGAAGCATACAGCGCTCTTTTGGACGCAAAGAAAGACAAGGTCAGAACATAACTTAATATAAGGCTATACTACTACATATGTAGCAAATTCTGTTGTATGATATAAAGACATGCAGTAAATGCAGTATATAACATACATGTATATATATATATATATAGATGGATAGATGCGTTACCGGCTATGATAAACGGTTATATGACGAGGTTTCCGCAAACTCTGGGCTTCCTGCTTTCAGGTCTCTCCAGCATGAGCAGCAGATATCGAAACCATCGCCATCCGCATATGGAGGCCGGAAGACCTTAAACCCTAAACCCTAAACCCCAAACCCTAAACCCTAAACCCTAAACCCCTAAACCCAATCCCAAAGAGGACGGGGTTTACGGATTAGGGTTCAGGGTTTTGGGGGTTTCCCGAAGACCTTGAAGCTGTAAAGCCCCAATCCCAAGGAGCCCAGAGCAAGAAAAAAACCAATAATGTAGGTAATTTTCAAGGCCCCTATATTAGATAGCTGTGAGTGACGACCTGGAAGCGACCTGTACCGGTGCTGTTTTTTCTGTTCCTGGTGGCCGTATGCGGAACTTGTTCTAGCACCGTGAATGCTTTAAGCACCTGGCGGCGAACACTGCCAGTGTTCAAGCTACACTTTTCATGGTACTCGATCTTGTTTGAAGGTCGGCTAGGCTCATCATTCACGCCGCTATGATATTCGTTGGAAGCAGACGGCTGCATTCGGTTACTGTGTGTGTCCATTCAAAGCAGGGCTCCAGCCATCGTTGCTCGGGAGGATCTGATCCTTGCGGCCAGCGAGACCCTGAATCGACGCATCGAGCAGGAGCGAGTGAGGCCCGAAGACTGTGAGATGGGGATCGCAGATCCGGCTTCCTAAGCCCTCTTAAAATGTGTACCTAAAGCAAAAATGTGCCAGTCGCGATTGCATACCGAGGTCTGAAGTCTTCCAGCCCCTATGTAACACCTTGACAAAACCCTACACTAAACCCCAAAAGCCCTATATGATACCTTGAAACAGCTCATTCGAGCGAGCCAGAGCCCAGAAGTGGAAGATGAGGCAGATGCTCTTCCTCGGGCCTCACCAGCATGTCGCGCTACACTTTAAGGCAGGGCAGGTGCAGGGTCTCTGGCTTTGGTTCAGGATGTAGATCGATTTTAGGGTTTTTGGGGGTACTTGGAGGGGGAAAGCAAGGTTAAAGGGGTTGTAGTTTGCAGCGTGGCTCTGGCTTGGCCGTGCCCGTGGGAATCATCGGCTCGACCTGTTTTGGTGGACCTTGGTGGGGAATCCAACTTATCGCGAGCACCGGGGTTTGCGAGGACCGGGTTGCCTTCTGCAAACTGTCGCAATTCCGAGACCTTCCAGCTGGCCCGAATGTGGTGCCAGTGCTAACAGGCTAACACAAGAGTAGCGCCCAACCCGCTACCAGTTTTTTGCAAACTCTGGCGTCGACATTCGGTAACTTGAGATGGCATGTCTTGAGTGCTGGCAGCGCAGGTGGCCAGCGACGGGATGTTGT